AAGTCGGTAGGTTTTCTATACACATCAGACAGGACCATGGAAGAGGAGATCAAGAAGGAAGTACCCTGCGCAGCAACTAAGAACAAACTGAAATACCTAGGAATATATTTAACAAAAAACTAAAGACCTATATAAGGAAAATTATAAGACCATACTATAGGAAACCAAAAGCGACCTCCACAAATGGAAAAACATCACCTGCTCATGGATTGGAAGGCTTAACATAGTAAAGATGACAATCTTACCTAAAGCACTTTACAAGTTAATTGCTAGTCCGATTCAAATACCAACCACCTTCTTTGAAGAATTGGAAAAATTGATCACCAATTTCACATGGAGAGGGAAGAAACCCTGAATTAGCAGAGAACTCCTCAAGAATAGGGACAAAGTTTGAGGGCTCGCCTTACCTGATTTTAATGCTTATTACACAACTACAATGGTCAAAACAGCGGGGTACTGGCACAATGAAAGACATTCAGACCAATGGAAAAGAATAGAAAGCCCAGGAATAAAACCATCAGCATATAGATCTTCGATAAGGGTTCCAAAACCATCAAGTGGGAAGAAGTTGTCCTTTTAACAAGTGGTGCTGGAAACAATGGATATCCACATGTAGAAAAATGAAACAAGATGTTTACCTCACCCCATGCATAAGAATAAACTCAAGGTGGATCACAGATCTAGAAGTTAAACCCCAAACCATCAGGACCATCAAGGAGGGAATCAGGACAAACCTAATAGCACTGGCCCAGGGAATGCACAGGCTCACTGCAATAGGGAAGGGTGCACACGCAGGTGAACTGGAAATCAACAAATGGGACTTAATAAGAATAAAACACCTGTGCACCTCGAAAGACTTCACCAAGAAGGTGACAAGACAACCCACAGACTGGGAGAGGATTTTTAGTAATGACACATCGGACAAAGGACTCATTACTAAAATCTACAACACCCTCATGGCCTGTAAAAAGAAAACAGTTAAACCTCTAAGGAAGTGGGCAAAAGAACAGAAAAGAGCTTTCACTAGGGAGGAGACCTATATGGCCAACAAGCATATGAGAAAATGTTCCCGTTCATTAACCATAAGAGAAACACAAATTAAAACAACCATGAGATACCACCTAATACACCTGAGGCTAGCCCAAATCAGTAGATCAGAGAGCAACAAGTGTTGTGGTGAAGTAGGAACCCTCCTCCACTGCTGGTGGTTGTGCAGATTTGTACAGCCACTGTGGAAAGCAATCTGGAGATACTTAAAGAAAATGGAAATTGATCTACCTTATGACCCAGTCATCCCTCTACTGGGCATATACACAGAGGAGGTAACAAATAAAACACGACCAGTCATCTGCACTTCAATGTTTATTGTGGCACAATTCACAATTGCAAAGACTTGGAAACAGCCTATGTTTCCACCGATACACGAGTGGATTAGTAAATTCTGGCACATACAATGGAGTACTATGCAGCACTGAGAAGCACGGATGATCACATGAAACACATCGTTTCATGGGAGGAGTTGGAAGGAATCATGTTAAGCGAGCTAAGCCAATCTCAAAAGCACAGGTATAACATGAGTCCCCTGAGGTAAGTATAATCTGCATGGCAGGAATAGAAGAATAGACACATCTCACAATAAACGAGTGGAAGCATATGTAGTTGTGGGTAGGGCAGACCACACCCAGGGAGGTACATGTGAGTCCAACATAAAGAAGAGGAAAGGGGGAAGGAGGAGGGAGAATCTGGATGGGGGAAATTTAGATGATGACATGGGAACAGGGCATTAATCCACCCACAGAGAGAGTATTGGTTGTGTCCCCACAGAACTGGAATGTACATACAGACCCCACCACGACTCACCAAACCAGGAGGGCAATATAACGTGCAGAGGAATCCATTGAAAAGACTGGCCTATATGCCCGGCCCCAACCAGAATCAGCCTGACTCCCACCATGGAAGGGAGTGCCACAGAAAATGAAAATAGACCATCTGGCAAGGGCAAGGAACCGACCTACCATACCCAGAAGGAAGCTGAAGCAAATGAATGGGGAGGAAGGGAGTGGAGCACACTATGGCCCACCAAGCTCAGAGGACAATAGCCCAGCTCGGGGCGGCCAATGCACAGAAAGGACCATATGGCCAGCCCCACTGCAAGATGTGACATCCTGCACTGACCTGTGGCTCTACATGGGACAACACTAGAGACACAGTGGGGGGTGTGATCGAGCTGACTCTGCCACACTGAGGCAAAACACTAAAGGCGTGCAATAGAGCGGTAGGGGGAGCAGAGCAAGGAAGTCCTGAGATGAGTATCAAAAAGAGACTTTGGGGCCAGGGCATGGCACCCAGAAAACACTCCTAAAGGTCAACAAACAGACTTTGAACTATTAACAGGTTTTTCATTCTTTCTTTCTACTTTTTTTCTTTTTTTCTCTTCTTTTAGATTTTGTGTGTCAATGGCCTTTTTGTTTGTTAGTTTGTCGGTGTTGCTGCTGTCTTCACCATGTTCTTATGTGCCACTTTGTTTGGTGTTGTCAAAACCACGCACACTTTTATGTGCATATTATTACCTCTGCAAGTCTATATAGTTAAGATAGGCTGGATAAACAATGTGGAGAATAAAACAACAAGATCGATGGTTCCGGAGGGACATGGGAGAGTGGGAGGTGGGGGAAGGGAAGAGGTGTTAACCAACCCAGGGACAAGGGAACAATGAGTGATTCAAAACCAGTGGCAAGGAGTGTGTGGGAGGAATGGTAGGGTGTGATCAAGGGCAATATAACCGAGAGGAATTCCTGAAACCCAAATGAAGGCTGAGCATGGTAGTGGGACAAGAAAGAAAAAGGAAATAGAGGAAAGAAGTAGGAGGCAAAGGGCATACATAGAGGCCTAAGTACAGGCATGCATATATGTAAATATATTTATGATTAAGGGAGAAATAGATCTATGTGCATATATTTATAGGTTTAGTAGTAGGGTAGCAGATGGACATTGGGCCTCCGCTCATGTACTCCCTCCATACAAGAACACTTTGCTCAACTAAACGGTCATTTCATGATACCCACCTTCCTGATGATCGCTGAAGACAAACGTGTGCATAAGCAAATGTGGTGAATAAAGCTGATGGTGCCCGGCTATCAAAAGATACAGAGTTTGGGGTCTTAAAGGCTTGAAGGTAAACAAGCGGCCATCTAGCTTGGAAGCAACAAAGCCCACACGGAGAAGCACACCAGTCTATGTGATCATGAGGTGTTGAAGGGATCAGGTAGCAGATATCAAAGAACAAAAACTATTATTGTGTGCTCAGCTTCCCCATATAAACGCTGAAGACAAATGTGTGCATAAGTAAGTGTGATGAAGAAGGCTGATGGTGCCTGGCTATTGAGAGATATAGCATCTGGGGTCTTAAAGGCTTGAAGGTAAACAAGTGGCCATCTAGTCCAGAAGCAGCAAAGCCCACATGGAAGAAGCACACCAGCCTGTGTGATCACAAGGGGTCGAAGGGTCCAGGTATCAAGCACCAAAGCACAAAAATCATATCATCATGAATGAAGGGAAATGCGGGATGGGGACCCAACGCCCATCTGTAGACAACTGGACATCGTTTGCAGAGGGGTAATGAGGAGGAGATGAGTCACTCAGGGTGCAGTATAGCATCAATGAAGCACACAACTTTCCTCTAGTTTTTAAATGCTTCCTCCCACCCTTGCCACCCCTCCCCCACTATCATGATTCCAATTCTACCTTACAAACCTGGTTATATCAGAGGATACACAGTGGTGCAGATAGGAACAGGAAACAGAGGGAATCCAGGACAGATGAACCCCTCAGGACCACTGGTGAGAGTGGTAATGCCAGGAGGGAGGAGGAAAGGCGGGTAGAAAAGGGAAACTGATTACAAGGATCTACATATAACCTCCTCCCTGGGGGATGGACAACAGAAAAGTGGGTGAAGGGAGACATTGGGCAGTGTAAGATATGACAAAATAACAATTTATAAATTATCAAGGGTTCATGAGGGGGGGGGGGCAGGGAGGGGGGGGGAATGATGAGGGGCTGATGCCAGGGGGTTAAGTGGAGAGCAAATGTTTTGAGAATGATGAGGGCAATGAATGTATAAGTGTGCTTTATACAATTTACATATGTATGAATTATGATAAAAGTTGTATGAGCCCCAATACAATGATTTAAAAAAATAAATTAAATTAAATAAAACCCATTGGTTCTACCAAAAAAAGTTATTGGTATAGATGTTCCACTTAGGAGGAAGTTCCCTGGCATTTATATGTTAAACAAATAAAGTAAATGACTTGCAAATGTGAAACAAAACCATCAAAGCGGAATCACATATTATTTTGGCAATTGCTATTGATTTGCATTTATTAATCAGTCTCCATTAATATACAATGGTATTAGAAGAATAACTTCTCTTACATTGAGCAAACAAAACAAGCTATTTATTATATAGTAGTAAGTCAGTACATATTCACAGTATAATAAGCAGAATACAAAAAAGCGAAGAAAATAACCCACAATTTAGACACATGGCTAGTAGTAAAATTAATTGTGGTAGTTACATAATCTGTTGTCAAATTGAGACTTAAGAGTGAAGGGGTGGAGTTTAGCCTGTCAATCAAGTCGCAAATTGATAACTTCATTTGGAGGCGCTAAGGAGATAAATAGCTAGCTGAAGGTAGGACACAGGCTCACTCCCTGTGAGGCATCCTTGCTGACAAGACACATGGAGCTACTCTAGAGCCCTGGAGCTGAAGGAGCCATGTGGAGACCCCTGCCAGTACTGAGTTACCTCTACCGTCACTGGATCCACAAGACTTTCCACCCACTGACCTGTGATCTTCCTGCACTCAGCGTCATTGCATGTGTTTTGTGAGTCTAAAAAGGAATTTATAGATTGGAATTAGACATATGGGCTAATATTGGACTTATGAACTTGATCTGGACTGGGCTGGGTTGTTTTCTCAATATTCAATTGCTCTTCTTGTACATAAAGCCCTTTCTTATACACATATGAGTGTCCATGAATTTGTTTCTCTTGTCTACCTGGACTAACACATTAATCTATAGTTTAATCAACTATATTTAGTAGGGTAATTGACTAGGCCCTTGTATTAAGTACCATGGGTACAAAGACAAGCAAGACATGGTCCCAAATTTCAAGTATCAGTTACTTAGAGGGTTTTCTGATACATAATGTGGAGTTAAGTAAACTATTATATGGGTCATAAGTACAGTATACAAGTAGAGGATGTACAATGCTTTAGAAGAAATGTTTTCTCTATGGCACCAGAAACCTTCTAACTTTAATATGAAGCTTTCGCATTTATTGCTTTTTGCAAATATTAAAGAATTCAAGAGAGTCAGCTGATTTTTATAGCTATGTACCTATTTAGAAAAACATTTCAAATGAACAATTTCTACAGTCAATAAATAATACATGTAACATAGTAAGTTGTCAACCAATAAAGAATATCCTGATTTTATTTAGTCAATCTTGTAAAATCCTATATTTTGTAAAAAATTAGGTATCTACTCAACTTGAGTGGCTGAAAGTTGTGAGGGGACCAATGACCAATGGGTGCAAGTCTAGTGGATGTGATTGCCTGCTATCAGACATGATTCTGCTGATGCTGGTTTCACAGCAGTATTAGTTTCAAATATTGTTAGCGATTATTCCCATGGGAAATTTCTCTGCAAGAAAAGAAGCATCACTTGGTAACAAGTATTCCACAAACTTAGCCCTACAAAATATTTGCACATCAGCACTCTCTTGGGAGACTGAGTTTTTAAGAAATATTTTCAAAATTGCATTAATGGTTATTGATTCTGTCATGTTTAGCTCTCAAGGGACAACCAGAGAATTATTTTCTCCCAGTGTAGACTTGTATATACAACAAAGGGCGATAATTTATGTTAAATAATACAGAGGGTCTGTGCACATCCTTGTGAACTTGTCTTTAAAAACATCAGGACTTTATACTTGGATGAAGGTGAGGAGTATATTCAGAGATGTTGTGAGCTTATAGAACTCAACACAAGTGTAGCATCTGTTCCAAGAGTGACTACACATGAAAACAAATGGCACCCAAGAAGTATAGGGAAGGGGCATGATTCTCCTTTTTCATCAATTCTAAATCTTCACAGTCTTATAATACCTAAGATGTTTCATGTGAAAGTCAGTGACATTTGACATTTGATGGACACAGATGGGCAATAAAGCTTTGGTTGCTAACATACCAGTGAAGGACATTTTTACTGTTTTTTTAGAGTTTATTAACAGACAATAATTGATGAATAGCCTACAATGAGCTTAGTTTACTTATACCACTGTAGGGCTGAGCCTAACTATGGTTGAGCTTTTGTCTTGTTAAGGCACGTTATGCCAGGTATCTTCAGAACGCTCTATGTGTCGCTACAAGAGCATGGAACCTAGAGCACAATTTTTCAAAGATCCAAACTCCTCCACGATCTTCCTAGTGAATGGCTAAACTTTATAAAAAATAATAAATGCAATGTATTCTTGAGTGAGAAATCTATTTTTGTACAGGAAAAAATTAGAGAGGAAAAAATTGCTATCAGAAACTAAGATAGTGCTAATATTAATGAATATAGAAAAATTCTCCTAAGAATTTCAGGATTTCATTTCTCACTACTTAGAACACCCATCCTTCCTTTATTCTCCCACAATGATATTTGGGGACACAGCAAAAAGAAAAGTATAACCTTACAAATAAAAAGATGATACTGAATATTATTTAAACTTCGATGCCTGAAACATATTAGACTTGAAGTTATGAGACAGGGTAAGTTGTAGATCTCCATGTAAAGAGGACACATTAGCTTACAGTTTACATTAGCACAACCTGCTGATCATTGGAAAACGGAAGCAGTAAGTATGTTAAGCAATAGCACTAAGATAACATTCGTAAAAACACAGAATAGACAGTATGCTAAGTTGTGCACAAGAAATGTAACATTCATTGTGGAAATGACATGACTACTAATTATAGGACTCCACAACATCATGAATAAACCTCACAAAAATCTAGGAAAGTTTAAGGTGCCACGTCACAAAGTCCATACAAATGCTTCATTGAGTAGGCTGTGACTGTCTTATGATAAATCTACATCTTGCTTTAGGACACGCTTTCACATGTCCGCACGGACAAATGAAGCAAATACCCCATCTTCTTGAGCTAAGAGGCTTTCTGGAGTGTCGTATTCTAAAATGTTTCCTCGCTTCATCACAATAACCAGGTCTGCCGTCAGGATGGTGTGAACCCGATGCTGTAAGGAAAAAGAACACAAGTGTCAGGGCACAAGACAAAGCAATGTGCTAGACATACTTTGTTATTCAGAGACATTTATTCTTCTTGGGACATCAAGATAGACAGGAGACACAGGCTTTTATGAAAAGTATTCTGAGTATAATCAACTCACTATGTTTCACAAATAATACACACATGCTAGTAATACACACATGCATGCAATGTGCATAAAGCATATAGGAGAGTAACGTCAGAGGAGGTGCAGTTTGCAGAACTATACAACATGCTCCTTATTTACATAAAAATAATAATACATGCTTTTAAATACTGGCATGCATGGTTGTATCTTTAAAAGGCTATATGAACTTGAGTGCAGACACTATATCAATTTCATCATTCTTATAGAATGCACTGATTAGCATAAGTACATGAACAAATGTTTGCTAATTAAGCAAATGATAACAGGAGCCATCATGAATGGATTGAGTTATTCTTTTTCTTCAATAGTTTTATTGATATAATATTCACATATCACAAACTTCTACAGTTATGTCACTTTTAAAAAGAGTTGTGTATACATCATCACAATCAGTTCTGGTGCACTGTCTTTTATTTCATTATTTGTTCCCCAAATTCCCCTCACCCTCCCCTACCATCCCCGATAAACCACTGCATCATTTATTGTATCTACACATCCATTCATTCTGTGTTTTATAAAGTGGAAAAATAAGAGAAACAATAAAAATTCAAATAAAACAAAGCAGAAAATAAGTAAATTATTAAAAATAAATAGGAAGAAAGAAAAGATCACCAGAAACATTCAAATAAGTCAGGAAGAAAATTTCTGTAGTGGAACAAGTGAGAAACACTTAACCCTAGGTCAAGAGGGAGGTCACTTGACAAGACATCATATTATCTCATAGTTCCATCCACCATAATCAAGTGTACAATAATCTTTGTCTCATAGTAAAGCTATTCGAGTCCCTCAACTGGCCAGAGGGGATCACCAAAGGATCTCAGTACTTTGCAGATGGATTTAGGGCTCCCATTGTCCACCAGAGCCTTCTACAAATTGGGGGTTCACAATTTAAGCTCTGATGCCTTTTGCTTCAACATATGTGGATTTTGTTATTTGTCATCTTTGGATCACCCAGGCTAATATGCTTCTTCCATGTGGAACTAATAGACACCTTATTAGATCACTGCTTATTTGAATACAAGGGATTGGGTTATTCTTCTGTTTCAATTATAATTGTCTATTGTGTTAACTTATCTAATCTCATGGGATACCTCGCTATCTGAAGACTAGTGAAAAGTGGTTGAATTTTGGGAAGAGACAATCTGAGGAAGTCCCTTTTTGCACTATTACCATGGGTTATCTCATACTTCAAACATACTTTGTCATCCCTAATTCATTAAAGATCCCTTAATCACTACAGATCACTACTACTCACTCCCCCCCCCCACATGATAGTCCTTGAGAAAGGATTTGATGTTAGTCATTGATAATAATACAGGCTACCACTCAATAATCATATGCAAATCATTGTAATAAGGTGGCTTTGAGTTGGAAACAACTTCAGAGAACATAACATTACAGTTAACCATGACAGAAAAAATGCTCACATGCATATTTACTAGTCATCAGAATAGTAATTCATGCATTCCATTAGCCCACAGTAGCATTGTCTGTATGAAATTTATGAAATCTCCCAAGTACAAACTAAACAGTAAGAGTCTGCCTTTTGAAAATGTTTTTCCCATAGAGTAGCAACAGAAATTAATTTCTCCTCCCAAAATATCTTCCCTTCTACTCTACTGTGAAAGTAGTTGAATACATTGAGGAACTTTTTTCAAGAATATTTCTCTCATCTATTAAATCAATAATGTTTCCGTGTGATTGAACTAATCAAGCTCTCCCCCAGGGAAAAATCATGAACTTACTGGGAAACTGGGGAAAATGGGTTTGTCTTTACGGAGACATCACTGGCAGCAGATGGGTGCTAATGAGGTGACATTCCATGCCACCTGAGAAAGCTGTGTTTTAATGGGTGCTCTTTCTTCCATTCTTCATTGACAGGAAGGGAACACTAAGTACCACCCTTATTACTCAGTTCCATTTAAACCTTTTTTTAAAAATTTATAATGAAGCAATGCCATTTTCAAGGCTGGTAGAGCATTTTAAGGATACCTACAAAACGTACTCAAGGAATCATGAAATTGGCCCTAAGGGTAGAGGAAATTAGGTTTGTCACTTCTCACAAATACTTTCTCTTGCATGCATACCTTTGAAAACATATGCACGTGTCCCATCCAGTAATGAATTTAAATGAAGCATCTTGTAGAACTCCTCTGTATGATAGTGCCCTGTAGTGAGTCCCTTCACCCAAAGCCACCCCTTTAGTCACAGTTAGTCTTGCATTCCTCAGAGAAGCCACTGAAATAGCTACCAGAGACAGAGAGATTTGGTAGAGTCGATCATGGTGGTCTACTTGTTGGTCATCACCAGAGTGGAAAAGAGGCCATTCTTATGAGTGAGTAGGTTTGGACCAGTATCACACTCCACTAAAATCCCCTCAGAAAAGACTAAAACAAGGCCTGCATCCATAATAGAAGAGACACGATGCTGGAGAGAAAAGAAATGCGGAAAGAAGAAAAGAGAAGAATCAGCCAGTGAGAAAATGCCCCAGGGACTCATTAAATCATCACTTCTGTTAAGCAGTAGACATACATGTGAGCACAAATGGCATCCAGGCACCCAAAGAGGGAGACAGAAAACGATCTTATTTATTTTAAGAAAGATATGAGTCATAAATATTTGTAAAAAATTTTCTATTTAACTGGTACCACCTAAAGTCAATTGTATCTGATGCTGCTGTGAAGTATCTCACTGTCTTTTATGTGTGTGTGTGTGTGTGTGTGTGTGTGTAGCCAGAAATAGAGTTTAAGAGTAAATAGTAGCAGAATTGGCGAACAAATTCAAGAATTTGCTTCTAAAGTGTTCATCAGACTCTCAGATTATGCTCCCGGGAAAACAACTGCAACAGTTGTTGAAAAGGTAATTATTTCATGTGAGCGATCAGTTGTGAAAGTACCATCGATGATAGTTGAGCTCCTGTCTTTGTAATTTACAAAATTACAAAGGGGAGGAGAAGGAGAGGAGACAGCTTGGAGAAGATAATGAAAAGGCTTTAGAAACAGCTTGCCTCCCCCCAACCCCCCTTCTCCCACAGATGTAGAAACACTGACAAAGAAATATCTAATTCAACATGAGCATATTGTAATCACTCAAATATAAAGGGTATAGAACCTCAGAGCAAGCCCCGACGAGTAGGGGAGCCCCCCCACCCCCTCAGACTTACAGCTATCGTGACAACGGTGCGATCTGCAAAGGCGGTCATGACCACTTTCTGCAGGATGTTTTCCTGCAAAGCGACAACAAATCATGAATAATTTTCCTGCAAAGCGACAACAAATCATGAATAATTTTCCTGCAAAGCGACAACAAATCATGAATAATTTTCCCACATCTGTGTTCTCTTGACACAACATTCTGTGTCCAAGAACAATGTCCCATGGTGCCCAACACCTTCTTATAATTCCAGACTTTGTACATATTACCAATACAGAAATAATACCAAGCGATCAACGAGGGGAGACTGACAGATGTATTGCCAGGAAAGGCAACGAGAAAAATGATATTTAAAGGGCATCAATACAATCACCGTTGTCATATCACAACCAGCATGCATTCAAAATCCTAGAATGGTGTTAATCTTTGCGTAAGAAAAAAAAAAAGATATTCATGCCCAAAATTTAGATTTTGGCCCATTACAGAACAATCAAGGCAGGAATCATTTTTATTCTCACTACAAAGCTTTACTGCCAATATAATTTAAATATGTTCATGAATAAAGACACCATTTCTTCTAGAAGAAGCTTAATTATCCAAGCTTAATGTGAAGGAGCTCCTTTTTCCAACCAGATGGCTAAATCAAACCCAGCCACACCTACTTCATTGAGGTGATTCTGACTACAACCAAATGCAGCACAAGCACACAGCCTTGCCTTTGTCCCACTGAGTGGCTGGTGGGGTTGAACCACAAAACTTGTGGTTAGCAGTTCCAATTGCAACACCAGGCCATCAGGTGTCTTATGACAATTTAATATTTTTCTCACTTTCTTTATAACTTAATATTTTTCTCATTTTCCTTATCATATCCTATAATAATCCAAATATTATAAAAAAAACGTTTGGTGTCATTAAGCTTAATTAGTAAAATGGTTTTATGAGAGATGATTTTTATTCCTTTAAAATATGTGAGAAGATAAACTATAGTTACTTCAGTTGATTAGTCTTTATAGAAAATATGACAAATTGGCCCTTCAACTGTTTCACAGTTATAACCATTCAAAAGGCGGTACAAGAAGATAAAATGAGAGACATTATTGGTTTTGTCTTTTGTGATATCAAATTTTTAATGTCAACTTAACTGTAAAAGAGCCACATTAATTGATATCTCAGACATAGTTTATGATTTAATATGAAGCTTACTCCACACCAATCACAGCCTTCAAGACATCTTTCTTGGAAATAATTTTTTTCAGCAGACAAAGTTTTGGACTTGTTGCCAAGAACTCCTTGAGATGGCCATTATTAATTCTAGAAAATTCTTCTGCAAATTGTTTTAGAAATAATAATCAACTTTACTTATCAATAGATTCTATTAAGTAGATTGTTTTAGAATTTGAATGGCATGATATATGAACTTTAGTACAATATTCCTATTGGCTAAGCTTTAAAAATCTTAGTTTTGAGAACTTATTAAAAATAACGGCAAATTTATTTTATCTTTGTTTAAATCATCATTCCTTTACATCAGGGGTTTTGCCCTATTTATTGTAAATCTCAATTCAGTATCATTGATGATCAAGAAGAGAGATTAGAGGGTACTCTAAACAATACTGAGGACTCAAAACCTAATTTGGAGAAAAGAAGCAATTGCCACACGAATGTCTGCAATGTGCCAATGTAAATTGTAGTTAATATACTCACTGTGGCCATGTCAATGGAAGCCGTCGCTTCATCCATGATAAGGATGCTACTCTTGCGGACAAAGGCCCTGGCGAGGCAGAACAGCTGTCTCTGTCCAACACTAAAATTCTCTCCACCTTCAGTGACAACTGCATCTAAACCAGAGGAAGCAGCAAGAATTTCACTAAAGGAATGCTACTAACATTTCTCTTGGGCATAAGACCCTACAGTCTGCCCTGTAGCAGCATGCTGAATATCACTTTGTCTGATGTACAGCTATCTTATTGGAAAAGTGAGGAGGAACTGTGGGAAAATGAAGATGGTCCTCAATTGTCATCATTTTAATATAGATGTTGAATTACACTCTTCTTGTCAGTTATACACATTTCTTAAATAGTTTGAGGGTTGGAGGGCATTCTGGAGATTATGTATTAGAGTTCTCCAGGGCCCAGAAAGGTGAAGTGGCTTTCCCAATGTCACCCAGCTAATTTGCAGTAGTGGCCAGTTCTTCCATGATACCATTTTACTTGACTTGCAGTTTCAAGTCAGAAGGTTGTTTGGTTTTGCTAAACCTATCCCCAGAGTTTACGATTGTTTCTGACATAGTAGCAAAATAAACCATTGTTAAATGACTCAATAAATTTTATAGGCTCACGATCCTTCCATTTTCCGTATTCCATCTCCATTTCAGAGAGTACATTATTGTATGTGTAAGATAAATTGTCTTCCCAAATTCTCATTTATTAGAATTCAAGAAATTTTTACTATATGACTGGAATTTTCCATTGTTTATATTTTCATTGCATCAAATGATTTCATATGAATTTTCATCTTTATAGGCTATGCATCATTCACATAATAAATAAGGAAGATTCTAGGGATGATGAATGTTGTTCATCACCAAAATTGGCCAGGACCAGATATTCATCAAGCAATTGATGTCATCTTTATTAAGACAATGAGCACATCACAATATTCAGTCAGTCACACAGCATAAATAACATCCACTGTTGTTTACATTGTACCATAATCTGAACACTATGTTACAATTCAAATCAGGCGCAGACAGTTCTCATACTAGTGATGAGAATAACTATAAAGAGATAATTAACTGCTTTTCCAACTTTTCAAGGAGGTCTCTTAGTGCCAGGGGAAAAATATCTACAAACATCTATCAATTTCTCAAATGAACTTGCAGGGCTAGCTAGAGAGACATCAAAAAAGCTAGCCAAGTTTACCCAGACCTTTGACATTACTCCCTCAATGTGGCACTGGCAAAGCCAATGAAATAATCCATCAAGACATGCTCTCTGTGGCAATTTTTTTCTGGAGAAATCCTTCTCTTTGGGACTTTATTAAAACCAGAAATGGTATTCTTTTTAAGATAAGCATCCATTCCAAATTAAACCTATAAATAAATACAATTTGTTTTATCAATTGACTTTTTTTTTCCGATTGGCTTTTTAAAAATAATAAAGATGCCATACAGCACTACTAATTCAGCAACTATATATTTTGTGTCAAAATTAGAGATCATCAAGAAACTCTTACCATTCATATTTCTTTGTTTAATGGCATCAGATTTTAAGGAAGTGAATGTAATTTCGAAACAATAGATGTTTGCTTTAAATTATTAAAGTCCACAGAAACCTCCAAGGTTTATTTCTGTTGTTCTTCTTTTCCAACATAATTTATTTGTCAGAAAAAGTATTGCTTTGGAGATTGAATTTATGTCGGTGATGATCTATGTACAGTTCAGCCACTACACAAATGGACACAGCTTGTGCTGGAGCAGGTAAAAGAAAGTCATGTCTTCAGGTCAGACGGACCTGATGCTATACAAATAAGAGGAACCTGTCTCTGGTCTGAACAAAAGCAGCTCCTGTTCCTAAGTCCTACATGAACCTGACAGCCTTCCAAGTTTCCCTTGATCTTCTTACAGAGAGAGCGAGCGATCACGTGAGCACCTATGACCACGATGAAATATTCTGATTGAAGTGGCCCATGTCAAGCAATAGTAAGAAGCCTGATGGGATAACTGTACTAACTGTTTTGTTATAAGATTCATCCTCTTACTCTACATCTGAAAGTGTTAACTACTGAAAAGCGCTAATGACTGTTAGGGGATCATGTTAAATATAAGGTGTTCGATACTGGAAGTATGAGGGTCTACCATACAATGTGGAGAGATATTAATAGAATTAACTGCATATGGAAGAAATCAACTGCAACAAAATTACCTAGGCCTCCTGGTAGTGATTTGACCATATTCTTCAGCTGAGCAATTTCTAAAGCTTCCCAGAGTCTGTCATCAGTACATTTGCACTCTGGATCTAAATTAAATCTGCAAAGAAAACAATTGTCAGTAAATAAAAGTAAAGACACTTTTATGGGTCTATTTGTTCATTGTTTTTTCTTTCCCTCACAAGTGCGTGTCCCTGGTTTGCACTCCTGCTCTGTCCCAGCATCGAGAACAGTGTTCAGGGCAGCACAGGCATTCAGCTCAAGCTTGATGGCTGAATGAAGGCATGGCTTTAATGAACTTAGGATCAGCAGCGATTTATCACAGATGCTTACTGATGAGGCTGTTAGCAAGATTCTATGCATGATGCATGCTTCGTTTTATAATACTTAGTGTACCCTGATTCAAACAACTCATTGCCGTCTAGCCAATTTCAATTGATGGCCACACTGTGTGATGGAGTAGACTTCTCCATGTGTTTTTTCTTGGCTGCAATATTTTTTTAAAAGCAGTCTTTCTTCCACTATATATTTCTACTAAAACCACCAATCTTTAGATTAGCAACTAATTGCAAAACACTTGGCCCACCCAGCCATCTGACTGCTGCAGTGGTTGTTAGATGTTGCAAGTCACTTAATGCCTAGGAAAATAGTTCTGTGGGACTGGTGTAAAATCTATAGAGAATATTGATGGCTATTTTTTACCAGCAAGGCTGGCAGTTCAAAACCACAAGCTGCTCTGCGGAAGAAAGACCAGTCTAGGAAACCCACAGTGACAGTTCGACCCTGTCATAAAGGGTCGCTATGAGTAAGACTTGAACTGATGGCAGTGAGTTTGAGTTTTTGAGTTCTGGGTGCCTTAGCAAACACAATATAGTATTCATAAACCCAGAGAGACATACATTCACTGTTATCACGACATCATTCCATACACATAAAATTTTTGATTAGTCTGACAGCTGAACATTGTTCCTCTTCAAGAGAAGACTACTTGGTAAAAGCAGGTAAAAGAGCACATGGATTAGAGCAAATGCATCTTCCTAATGAAGCAGGTGGAGGAGGGGAGTGAGAGAGAGCACAGGGCGGCTAGAAGGAGAGACAGGATCTGGTGGGTGATACCACACTGGATTTGGGGGTTAGACAAACTTCAGTTGAAATTGCAGCTGCACCACTCACTGGGGACATAAATGTAGGAAAAGTATGGTGTCTATGATTGCTAGTATGAAGGTTAGCTGCGTGAACGAACCCCCAAGCCACTCTGCATGAGAAAAGAGGCAGCAATCCGTACTGTAAAGATTACACCCTAGGAAATCCTAAGGGTTGCTCTACTCTATCCTACAGAAGCCCTCTGTGCTCACCTGGGCTCAAGAACAACATATTTTTGTTTTGTTTTTGTTTTTAATGGGAAAGTAGATTCTTCCAACTTGTTTTTATAAAGCTATGAACCAGACAAAAAGAGGACTGTAGCAGCATCTTAAAAAGTCACATTGGATACAACAGCCAACTAAATAAGAGAGGGAAAGAAGAGAGAGAAAACTGAAAAAGACATGGGTAGGGGGGCAGGAGGGCACTAACTCACCCAAGGGGAGGGTATT